ACACACACACACACACACACACACACACACACACACACACACCAAGATTACGAGACTGAAAGTCTAACCAACCGGCTACTGCAGCCCAACCTGATAATTATGTAAATACCTTAAAAACAAAATAAATAAATAAAATGTTTAAGTGAGTCCTTGTTTTTTTTCTCTAGAACTATTTTAACTTCATTCAAATACTGTAATCTCTGACGTTATTCCCAGCACTCAATTTATGGCCATTCATTTTATTATCTTGTTTTTCTTCTATCATTAGGTTATTTACTTTTCTGTCTACGCTATCTTTGTTTAGTTTTTTGTGCTGATAACACTGTGTTGTGTAATTCTGTAAAAGCAAAAAGCCCATACTGACAATAAAGTATTTGAAGTCAACCAAAACAGTGGTTCAAAGTGGTTAAAATGTCAAAAATAACTCACCTAAATCATCACCAAGAATGTAAGGAATTGGGAATTTCCATCTGTATCTTTTGTCACTTAGTGCATTTTTTTCATTCTGTGGCATGAAAGTGGAGTTAATAAGTCACTTAAATTAAGTGTAATAAAAAACTATATCAAGGCGAATCAAAGAACGTATTACAAAATTCATTTCATTATCTAAAATTATAATTGCACTGCAGTTACTCAAGACGACAATGATTAACAGCTGCTAATAAAACAATTAAGAAGTGGTTTATTATTATATTTATTATGAGCAAAGTGACAAAATCAATAACAACTTACTGAAATCAAAATATCTCCTTCAAAGAGGCTGGTATCTGAATCTGTCACATTTGCAACATAAAATCATACATTTTGTTTAAATTAGAATAGAAAAATACAAAACTATCAAACAATGATGCTTACCCTTGTTTAAAATTGGGTTGTCATCCTCACCATTCTCATACACCTCTGTAAATACACAACATGGATCAGTGTTTTCACATGTCTCACAAATGTTCTTTGTTTTAAAATGAACTTATATTGACATTTTCTATACCATGTATCACATGTGACTGTGGAATCTGCAACAAAAATAAAAACATTTCAGTCTGTGCTGTTTTTTTTTTTTTTTTGGCAATAATGTTCTAAACTATAAAGTTTTGGTACTTACAGTGAAAGATGAGGCAAAGGCAGTGAGCCCCAGCAATAAGAGAATCCTTTCCATTATCCTTCAGAGCTCAGCTTGTAAATGCTGCTCGTTAGGATTAAATTCAGATGCTGATGTGGATGAAGTTTTAGTGGTTCTAAAGAGTAACTAAAGGACTTTGACTCATATCTGTTACTGATTACAGTGTTTTTACATGAACAGATAGTGGTAAACTGCACTTATTTATCATCTGATCGTTAATATCTGATGGCATTTCTAAATTGCATTAAAATTTAGCAGCAAAACATTATTTTAAATCCTGATTATCAAAATAAAATTATTATTGCTGATGAAGGCAAAAGTGTGTTTTTGTTTGTCTATATCATTAACAAAATTTGTTTTCAACCACTGGACTGATTTTGATGAAACTTTCAGGAACTTTTGAAAGTGGAATCAATCAAATTCGAGATGGCTGCCACAGCTAAGAATGGTTGCCAGCTGTCCCTAATTGCAGATCATTTAAAGTCAGTATATGGACGCAATTTAAAATAAGTCATCTTAATTAAAAAAAATCAAGACAAAAATTAATGTTGTATGTAAATCCTGAAAGCCACCTTCAGACTTGGCACGTTCAAGGCAAAAAACAGAATATGTTGCTGAATTTAGTTGTGTTCAGTGTGGTCCTGGGCAACTTCTTTTTTTTTTCTTCTTTTGGACAGTTAAAATTCMTAGTTTTCAGGTGGTAATGAATGCATCACTGAGTGGCATTGGATAAGTGTTTAGCCAGAAAGTAATGATCTTACAAAAAGTTAAGAATATTATCCTGACGTACTTGTCAGAAACGACAAAACAGAGCTTTATTGTTATTGTAATAAAATACGTCCATAATAGTCCAAGAGATAGACCATGCATAAAAAGTACCAGCAATTTTATTGGTACCCCATCAAAGTACATCCCTTCATGGTATAAAAACTCATTTCCTATAAAATTTCTCCCAGACCCAAAGTCAGAATTCAAGATTAATGCTAAAAATCATGGCTTTGACTGTCTATATCTGACCATTGCCAGATCTTTTGCTTCAGATCTGGTTTTTTGGTACCAAAATGTTAAAAAACTGATTGCTTAATTAAATCCAGGTAACTAATATTAAACTTATAAAGCCATTTACAGCTGGCATCCACAAAAAGTGTCAAAATTTGAGCTTTTTTGAAAACCAGGCCCAGCTGTTCTGTCAGTATTTCCTAAACTGGCACCAAACTGCACCAAAAATATCTTCAGACACTCTACTAATTAAAAAACATAAGATAAGATGTACAGTGTCATCTTTTTTTCATTCTAGAAGCAAATGACGCCAACCCTCTAAATTATTGATATATGCCAAATTTCAAATATTGTACATATTATTGCCTTACTTCATATTTAAATCATATTTTAGTGTAAAAAAGTATATTTGAAACCACTGGGTTGTTAGGGTTAGGTCTAACCTGTTTGTAACGTGCCAAACATCCATCTTTTATCTATACCTGCTTCTTCCTTCCAGGGTCACAGGGCTCACT